GGGGGTCCAACAGGGATGATGGTCAGCAAACACAAGGGGGTCCAACAGGGATGATGGTCAGCAAACACTAGGGTTCAACAGAGATGATGGTCAGTAAACACTAGGGGGTCCAACAGAGATGATGGTCAGCAAACACTAGGGAGACCAACAGGAATGATGGTCTGCAAACACTAGGGGGTCCAACAGAGATGATGGTCTTGCAAACACAAGGGGGTCCAACAGGGATGATGGTCTGCAAACACTAGGGGGTCCAACAGGGATGATGGTCAGCAAACACTTAGGGAGACCAACAGGAATGATGGTCAGCAAACACAAGGGGGTCCAACAGGAATGATGGTCTGCAAACACAAGGGGGTCCAACAGGGATGATGGTCAGCAAACACTAGGGAGACCAACAGGAATGATGGTCTGCAAACACAAGGGGTCCAACAGGGATGATGGTCTGTAAACACTAGGGGGTCCAACAGGGATGATAATCAGAACACAAGGGGGTCCAACAGGAATGATGGTCAGCAAACACTAGGGGGTCCAACAGGGATGATAGCCAGCAAACATAGGGGGACCAACAGGGATGATAGTCAGCAAAAACACAAGAAGGTCCAACAGGGATGATGGTCTGCAAACACTTAGGGGGTCCAACAGGGATGATGGTCAGCAAACATTAGGGAGACCAACAGGAATGATGGTCAATGCAAACACAAGGGGTCCAACAGGGATGATGGTCTGTAAACACTAGGGGGTCCAACAGGGATGATAATCAGAACACACTAGGGGGTCCAACAGGAATGATGGTCAGCAAACACTAGGGGGTCCAATTCAGGGATGATAGCCAGCAAACACTAGGGGGACCAACAGGGATTATAGTCAGCAAAAACACAAGAAGGTCCAACAGAGATGATGGTCAGTAAACACTAGGGGGTCCAACAGAGATGATGGTCAGCAACCACTAGGGGGGCCAACAGGAATGATGGTGAGCAAACACTAGGGGGTCCAACAGGGATAATGGTCTGCAAACACTAGGGGGACCAACAGGGATGATAATCAGCAAACACAAGAAGGTCCAACAGAGATGATGGTCAGTAAACACTAGGGGGTCCAACAGAGATAATGGTCTGCAAACACAAGGGGGTCCAACAGGGATGATGGTCAGCAAACACTAGGGGGTCCAACAGGGATAATGGTCTGCAAACACTAGGGGGACCAACAGGAATGATGGTCTGCAAACACTAATGGGTCCAACAGAGATGATGGTCAGCAAACACTAGGGTTCAACAGGGATGATGGTCAGCAAACACTAGGGGGTCCAACAGGAATGATGGTCTGCAAACACAAGGGGGGTCCAACAGGGATGATGGTCAGCAAACACTAGGGTTCAACAGGGATGATTGTCAGCAAACACTAGGGGGTCCAACAGGAATGATGGTCAGCAAACACTAGGGGGGTCCATCAGGAATGATGGTCTGCAAACACTAATGGGTCCAACAGAGATGATGGTCAGCAAACACTAGGGTTCAACAGGGATGATGGTCAGCAAACACTAGGGGGTGCAACAGGGATGATGGTCAGCAAACACTAGGGTTCAACAGGGATGATGGTCAGCGAACACTAGGGGGGTCCAACAGAGATAATGGTCTGCAAACACTAGGGGGTTCAACAGAGATGATGGTCAGCAAACACTAGGGTTCAACAGGGATGATGGTCTGCAAACACTAGGGTTCAACAGGGATGATGGTCAGCGAACACTAAAGGGGTCCAACAGAGATAATGGTCTGCAAACAGTAGGGTTGAACAGGGATAATGGTCTGCAAACACTAGGGGGTCCAACAGAGATGATGGTCAGCAAACACCAGGGTTCAACAGGGATGATGGTCTGCAAACATTAGGGGGTCCAACAGGGATAATGGTCTGCAAACACTAGGGGGGTCCAACAGGGATAATGGTATGCAAACACTAGGGTTCAACAGGGATGATGGTCTGCAAACA